GTCTGTCATGGGTCGCAGGCGATGCAGAAGAGCTCCCGTTTGATGACGATCAGTTTGACATATACACTATTGCCTTCGGCATCAGAAATGTCACCCACATAGAGCAAGTAAAGACTCTGCACATCACATCAGATTGCTGAACAGTTTAATAATAGACACTGAAATAAATAACACTGTCTTAAAAGCCATTTAACTTTGAATTGTTGTCCATATTGCATATTTCATGTTGTTATCATTTATTAATTTCTCCATTTGAAGAATGATGTGTATGAGGTCTTTGATCATTCTGTAGGTCTCTAGTTATTATGATGATGTCACTGTTTGCAGGCTCTACAAGAGGCTTTGCGCGTCCTTAAGCCAGGGGACGCTTCATGTGTCTGGAATTCAGCAAAGTGACCAACCCTCTTCTCGCAAGGTCATTTTTTTTATTTGTAGTAATTTTTTTGTGTGCTTTTGTAATTGTTTTTTTGTTAAATGTCTATATCGTTTTTATTCATTTTATTTTCATTTGTAATTTTTTTTACAAGTTGAACTGAATGAAAACGAGAAATTGAAAACTAGCTGAAATATCTATAAAAAACGTTTTTTATATTTTCAGTTGACGTTTATTTTTTGAGCGCCTAAAGGGACATGGTGATGGACAGGGTGGCCGCGGGTCATTTTAAAAAGTATTAAAAAGTCTTCAATCAATTTTCCTAAAAATAAGGCCTTTAAAAGTATTAAATTGTCTTAAATTCAGATTGGATAGGTCTTAAATATGTTAGTCATGTACCGCAAAATGCAGGCAAAGGCAATCGTTCTGCAGCCAGGTCAAATATTTTTCTACAAGGTAACGTAACCTGTGTGTGAGACACGCGGGTGCGATCAAACAGTGGAGTCATGAAAAACATCCGTCATTTTGTTCAGTCTGCAAAGTGTTTACTTATATTTGTGTAGCAAAACATATGTATCCAACCCCTGTTTGAAACAGTCCGTGTGTTGTAACGTCTGTCAGAGTTTGTGGTCCCAGAAGAAGAGTAGGAAAGACAGTGCAAATGAACTGGTTGTTCCACGAGTCCTATTATAGTTGGTTTCTTTCAGTTAAGCACACTCTTCACATACATGTCGAAAGAGCGGATGTTAACAGGTTAAAGAAAACACTCTGTAAAACGCTACAAATCAAAGTGGAAGTAAACGCATTATATCAAAACAACAAGCCCGCGATAGATCGGTCATCTTCTTCCTCTTTGTGTGAACTTTCTCACTCTCACTGAGCGTGCGCGCTCACATAACAACATTACGCATACAATAACGAACGCCATAGAAGAAGTCATCTTAAAGGCATATCAACATGTCATGAAAACACTACTGAACACTAGGTGGCCATTGCAGAGTTCCATCTTTAGGACATTCATCATACCACATGGTTTTCATTTCTTGTCCTCAAAACAGGGCAAAAAACTTTTTTTTTTAATTTTCTTTTTTTTTTTTAAGTGTATGTAGTATTATTTTATAGAGAAATCAATTATTTATAATATTAGTTCTAATTTAACAAACTATTATATGAAACTTTATCAGTGACACTACAAATAACAGATTCAAGAGTTCAAGAAGATCAAGAGAAACTCAAAATTTCGACCCCCGGTGCGGAAAAATCTTCTCAAAACTCTGGATTCTAATAGAGGCCATGAGACTTAGACCTGAGTGCAAAAATGGAGGGTCTAGACCCCTTCCTGAGATATTGAGATCCACGTAGCATTTTATGCCATTATAAAAATTCTTGATATCTCAGCTCTGGAAGGGTCTAGAGCTCAATTTTGCATTCAGGTCTAAGTCTCTTGCCATCTATCGGAATCCAGAGTTTCGAGAAGATCAGAGAAACTCAAAATTTTGACCCCCCCCCCAAAAAAACGACAGTGGTACCCCTTTTGTTTTTTTTTCTGGGGCGAAAAAATAAGTTTCTCCAATCTTCTCAAAACTCTGGATTCTAATAGAGGGCCATGAGACTTAGACCTGAGTGCAAAAATGGAGTCTCTAGACCCTTCCAGAGCTGAGATATTGAGATCCCACGTAGCATTTATGCCATTATAAAAATCTTGATAGCTCAGCTCTGGAAGGGTCTAGAGCCTCAATTTTTGCATTCAGGTCTAAGTCTCTTGGCCCTCTATCAGAATCCAGAGTTTCAAGAAGATCAGAGAAACTCAAAATTTCGACCCCCCCCCCCCCCCCCCCCAAAAAAAAAAACCACAGTGGTACCCCTTTTGTTTTTTTTTCAGGGTGAAAAAATAAGTTCTCCAATCTTCTCAAACTCTGGATTCTGATAGAGGGCCATGGGACTTAGACCTGAGTGCAAAAATGGAGGTCTCTAGACCCTTCCAGAGCTGAGATATTGAGTCCATGTAGATTTATGCCATTATAAAATCTCAATATCTCAGCTCTGAATGGTCTAGAGACTCCATTTTTTGCACTCTGGTCTAAGTCTCATGGCCCTCTATCAGAATCCAGAGTTTCAAGAAGATCAGAGAAACTCAAAATTTTCGACCCCCCCCCCCAAAAAAAAAAAAAAAAAAACGACAGTGGTACCCCTTTTGTTTTTTTTTTCTTAGGGTAAAAACAAGTTTCTCCAATCTTCTTCAAAACTCTGGATTCTGATAGAGGCCATGAGACTTAGACCTGAGTGCAAAAATGGAGGCTCTAGACCCTTCCAGAGCTGAGATATCGAAAATCAAAATTTCGACCCGAAAAAAAAACGACAGTGTTACCCCTTACATTTTTTTTTTTGGGGGCGAAAAATTAAGTTTCCCCAATCTCTCAAAACTCTGGATTCTGATA